CAGCGGTGTCGATGTGCACCGCCTGCACCCTTTTTTGAAGGCGACAGTGCGCGCAACCCAGGGCCACTGCCATTTCAACATGCTTGGTCCACGTTACTTCCATGGAGAACGAGAGATCGCCTAGTAATCGTCGCCGCGCGACAAAATTTCTTTGCAAGTGGGCCTACATCATCGGCCGATGAACCTCGAAACAACGCTAGAATGACGGGGACGCACCGCAAAATGAGCGTGTGCTCGTATTGGGACGTGTAGCTGCCCTTGACGTCGCACAGCGGCGGATATGCCTAGAACCATCCACTGTCAGCTCCCCATTTCGTCCGAGCCATTCGTACCGTCACAATGCCGTTTTCGACCAAGTTCTTGAGTCCCATAATGTATTTTTCTTGCTTGGCACCCTTGGGGTTGATAAAGGTCGACCCACCATCGTCGCGTTCCAACCAGCGGCGACAGAATGGAAGCGTTCCGAATGTGCGTTGAATATGGGAAAGCAGCTTCTTGGCGCGGGGAAGGCGGAGCGGCACGTGCGGCGCATCGAACGCCTTGGCATAATGCGAGCACTCCATGTCCTCGACGACATACCTAGCCACCAACGAGTGAGCCTCTCGTACGCCTCGACGCAATGAGCAAGTTGCCGCACCCGCGACCCGTCGTGTTGAATGTTTCGATAGCAAAGATCTCGCCTTCCTCCATCTTGGTTTGTTCGGGGGTTGCCACGATCGGCACACTCTTCCCAGCATGGATTTGATATGGCCCGATCGAGTGGCCGTTCAAGTTGCGAATGCATTGCACTACCGCCGATTCCATGGGTAAAGAAACATTCATGACATGGGGGCGTGCGACGAGCTTGCTGGCAGCCGCGCGAATACAAAGCCGAAATGCTCGAGAAAAACGAGGTACCTGGGTACACCTTGCCGTTGATTGTGACCTCGTACGACTCCATCACTTCTTGAATTGCCGCGCCGATTTCACCGAGACGCGCATCAATGCCAGATTGGCGCACGCCTTCGTTTGTGGCAGCTTTGGAAGCGGCCAACAACGGATCAAATTGTGGGTCGAACGCAACCGTGAACGCCGAATCGATGATGCGCCCTGCACACGATGGCGCCTGTCAGATACGAAGACGCACGACGACGACGCACCATCGACTTGGGTGCCGAAATCGATCTTCATCACGTCGTTGTAGGTCAAGACTGTGTTGTCCCCCGAGTTTGGGGTGTAATGCGCAGCCACGTGGTTCAACGAGCAGCCCGTGGGGAAACCGATCCCGCGCTACCACGACCCCACGGTAATCGATGGAACCAAGACAGTTTAATGCGACAAACACAGGAGCGATAGATGTGCAATGCTCGAGTGCATCAGACCACAAGATAGGGAAACTTCATCGAAAAAAAATTCATGGAGGAGAAGGATGGTGGACGTACTGCAAACCCAGCCTCTTCGACGAGCTCTCGGTTTTTGTTTTCCAAAGCTTCGCACAAGTCGATGAGGCGGATGCCAGGCTTGATCAATCCTTGCGCAAACTTGCGCACTTGACGGTGGACTTCCGACGCGTAGCGGAGACGGTCATAGAACGCTTCGTTTTCCTGGTGTGTGCGGTCAGTCCAGTCTCGAAGAGATACATGAGATGGTGTTGAAAGACGTACACGTTCGGCGGCACGCTTCTCGGCACTTGTGATGCGGTACGTGTTGAAGTCACCGGGGTGTTCCTGCTCTTCGCCTTTGGGGAACGAACCGACCGCGAACAACTTTGCCACAGGAATTGTCGGGGGTTCGGTTTGACCATACTGAATGTAGCTGTCCGTGTACCCAGTCACACCGCGAAAGGGCGGCAATTTCGTTCCTGGGCCGACCGGGGCTGCCGCGGCCTTCTTCTTTTTCTTGTTCTTCTTTTTCTTCTTTTTCTTTCCAGCGGCATCACCACCCGTTCCTTCGGCCACGACATCCTCGTCGTCGTCTTCTTCGTCGACTTCCTCGTCCGGCACGATCACCTTCTTCTCGTCCTCCATCGTTTGCCTGGTGCTTCTTCCAATGCATGGCCACCCAACTTGGAGCA